GAATGAGAATATCCAGAAACCAAATGGAGACAGCAACTTAGGTGGACTGTGCTCCCTCAAGGATTTACAGAATCCCCAAATTTGTTTTGACAGGCCTTGGAGAAACTTTTACAAGCTTTTCAACTTCCAGATGAAATTAAGTTTTTACAGTATGTAGACGACTTATTAATAGCAGGAGAATTCAGAGCAGGCTGTCCAGGAAGGAGCCATTAATTCATCAAAATTTCTTGGAGATAAAGGGTTCAAAGTATCAAGATCAAAACTGCAATTTGTAGAACCAGATGCTAAGTATTTGGGGCATTGGATTAGCAAACTCAACCCAGATCGAGTATCGGGTATTACTTCATTACCTGTACCAACTACAAAGAAACAAACTAGGCAGCTATTAGGACTGTTGGGGTATTGTAGACAGTGGATAGAAGGACATAGTGAAAAAGCTAAGTGTTCATATGAAAAATTGACACTAAATTCTTTAAAATGCACCCTAGATGAAAGACAGCTTGAACAACTGAAAGATGCCTTAATAACAGCTCTAGTTTTGAGTTTGCCTGATCTCAGTAGGCCATTTCAATTATTTGTGGATATGTCAAACCAAACTGCTTATGGAGTATTGTCCCAGGATTGGGCAGGAAGCAAAAAACCAATAGGATACTTTTCTAAATTATTGGTCCCCATAAGTAGGGGATGGTCAACATGTTTACAAGCTTTAGTTGCAGTAGCTTTAATAGTAGAGGAGACTTGAAAAGTAACCTATGGCTGTGGCAAGCACATTTTTCTCCCTCTCAGGATTTTTCATAGAGGTTCACAGAGAGAAATGAAAGAGAAAACAATTTCTATTTCTGCTCCTTGTTTTTCCTATGTGGAATGTGTTTGGAGGATTGTTTACCTGGAGTGAGTGCTTGATTGGATTCTGGTGAGAATTGTTTGAACCTGATGGCCAATCCAATCCACCTGTGTCTGGACTAGAGCGAGAGGGTCAAGAGTTGTGTTAAGAGTCATAGAGTTAGAGAAAATAGTATGTCATTTTAGTATCTTCCTTTTTATATAGTATATTAATGTATTTTAGCACAGTTATAATGAAGAAATCATTCAGCCTTCTGAATTGAGTCAGACATCATCATTTCTTCCCATTGTGTTTGCCTGCATTTACAGTAGTTAAGGAATTGAATGTGACTAACTGTTGGGTTTGAGAGGGAACCCAAATGACTGAGCAATGGCCGTGGAGAGGAAAAGGGTTAGGACCTGATATTATGGAACAGGACACATAAATCTAATGAAATTCAACCTGAGGGATGGATATTGAGTCATGAAGTAGTAGGCCAAATTTGTATTTCTAGGGAAGGAAACAATTTTACTACACATGTAGGACATACCCTCTGATGACATAGTGTGGCCTGGGGTCCCAGGGGTCCGTCCAACCCGGGCAGCCCGAGGTGTCCCGGATAGCACTGGGCTGATAGGCACAGCCTGACCATGGCCCTCAGGCAGGCTCCCAGTCGCAGGCAAGCTTAGCAAGCAGCTCTTAAGTGATTTCAACTCTGTGGTGAATATGACCTATGGTCTTACAGAGAGATAACAAGGGTCCGAATGCAGAAGAGGGGCTTCCCTGGTCCAGTCATCATGACTTGGCACTTCTTATCTTAGGCAAGTGACCACCAGGGAGGCCTTGCAGGGCCTCTGACTACTACAATGATACATACCACTAACTCTGCTTTTATGACCTGGTGGCTGAAACCACCAACAGGTTTTTGGTCTATCAATTGTACTAACAGAACTGTTTGCTGGAAAAGTGTAGCACATGCTAATCCTTCTGAGGAGGTAAAAGATCTTAAGGGATATTGGGAAAATCCAGGGCAGATGGCTGAAAATCTGAAAGTTCTAGGTGGATTCTTTTGGATAAGCAGTAAAAGGGCATATAATGAACTATCAAAGAGATGGAGAGGTACCTGTACAATTGGAATTACACAATCTGCATTCTTTTTGCTACCAAAGAGCAAAGGTGAATATTTAGAACGACCTCTTTATGAAACTGCACAGAAGAGAACGAACTTAAATAGGAGGAAAACAGACCTAGAATAATGAAGAATGGACTTCCCAACAGATCACAGATTACTATGCTCCTGCCTCCTGGGCTCAGGACAGCAGCTGGGGTTCTAGAACCCCTATTTATAGGCTTAACCAAATTATTATATTGCAGGCCATTGTAGAAATTACTTCTAATCAAACATCAGAGGCATTGAAGCTTGTAGCTAGACAACTAACCCAGACCAGAGCAGCAGTATATCAGAACAAGCTAGCCTCAGATTATTTATTAGCTGAAGAAGGGAGATTTTATGGCAAAATTAACACATATGAGTGCTGTTACAGATTGATGATAATGAAGAGGCTATTACAAATTTGGCAGATGAAATTAGACAAGTTCCAGTGCAGAAATGGAAATCCTAGTATATTAACTAACAATTGGCGGAATAATTTGTTTGAAGGAGCCTGGTGGAAGAAGTTTGGGTTCATGTTGCTTTGTTCTCCATTAGGCCTATTGTTTATACCATGTATGATTCCATGCTTTATTGGGCTAATACATTCAGTGATCCAGGGAATGCAGATTTCAGCAACACTCATAAACCCTAAAATAACAACCATGGGAGAAAACACACTCCCTTCTTTATGATAGTCAGGGCCAAAGAGGAACCAAATAGAACCGTGACCCAAAAAGTATTAGCCCAATTTGAAGCAAAGACACGAATCAATAACATAAAGTAAAAAGGGAGGGATTGTGAAAAATGTTTTTGTGATTCATGTCAATTAGCAATAGAATAAGCAAATGCTTGTATCTGCTGTGTCAAAAGTGGGTGCATTCCCTGGGATAACTACAAGGAACAGTTTTGAAACTTTCTGACCGAATAGCCAAATAAAGCATCAAAAGAGAAGTATAGTAGAGTAAAGAGATGAGGTAGCCAGACAACTGATGCTTAGAATAAAATACAGGAAGTTGTGGCAAAGCTAAGGGATCTTGTGACAAACCAACTAAATGCTTATGTACAGTATAAAGCTTGATGCATTTGACAAAATCATGTAATAGACACCGGTGTAAGGCCTCCCTTCAGATGACCACAAGAATGACAGGAAGCCAACGACCACCTGGAAAGATTATGAAATTGCTGATCCCAACTTATTGATATTTGCTGATTTGGACTAACCAAGAACATTGGAAAATGCTTTGTAGGCTTAAAACCAGTATTAAAAACAAGTACTTTACCAAACTTGTAAGTGGTGTGTGCCGTTAGTGGAGCAGTGACTCCCCGGCCACCCAGTGCTGCTTGCTTTCTTACTTTAAAAGAAAAGATATAGAAATAAAATTCAGTTTGCTATCAAAATTTTATATCACCCGTGCCATGAGCAGGTGTAGAGAACAGGGATGGAGCAGCTTTGGGGACACCTGGAATACAGACAGGGTCACTCCCCACAGCCCACCATGGCCATGGGCTAGAGCCCCTGATCAATATTTCCATGCTTTTCCCTCCTGTATGGCAGCTGAAACAAAACCCAAATATTCTTCCTGGGCCATTCCAAAGGGCTGCAGGTTTGACAAAGGAAGGAGAAGTGACCTGGTCAGGTTGAGTGCAAAACATTATTGTCTTTGCAGGATTCTTGGAGGTACCTCAGACCCCTGCCAAAAGGGACAACATGATCAATTTCTGTATTTCTGGACTGGCTCCCCTGCAGCTTCCCCTGAGGGGGGGGGGGGGAAGGTTTCCAGCCAGCCCTGCCCTGAAAACCATCAAAGGCCCTTGCAGAGCCACTGCTTGGGCTCCCTTTCGGTTTTGTGCTTTTTGCAGGGCTGAGCAAACCACAGCCAGGCCATTTCCCCTCACAGAATTCTCAGCTCTGCAGCAGCTCTAAAGCTGCCAGAATCAAAGCCAAGGGGGCGGGGGGGACCCTCATGTCCTGGCTGCCACCTGGGGCCGGCCAGAGCAGGGCTGGGCAGTGGCCACCCCTGTGCAGTGGGGCTGGGCCATGGCTGGTCTCCAGCCTTGGATGGCCACTGGCTTCAAGGAGCAGGAGTTTGGGAGCTCCTTCGTGCCCGGGGCTCCATTCCAGAGCTGCTCTTTCCAGTTCAAATCCTGCATGATGAGCAGGAATGGAGAAGCCTTGAACAGGATTTCTCCCAAAACCCAATAAACATCTTTCTGCTGCACGAGAGAGAAAGTGAAAGTGTTGAGGGGGCACAGCTCCACACCCCCATCCCCAACAGACTCCTCACCCTTCCCTGCACCCCCCACACCCCATTTTCCCCCTCCCTTGGGTCCCCCCTACCCGTTCCCTGCTCAGGTGCTCCCCAGGATTGCTGAGCTGGGAACCGGTGGTGAAGGGACATGGCACAAAAGTGAGGAAAATAGGGAACAAAGAGAAAGAGAGAAAAAAGTCAAGGGCAGGGGAGGGCACAGAGGCAGAGCAATCCAGGACCCCCATGTGATGCCTGCCCAGGAAATGATCACCCCAGGGTGGAGGCTGTGCTGGGCCCTGGGTCACCCCAAAATCTGAGGCACCCAGAGAAGGAGCTGTGACCCCCATGCCCTCCCAGGCACTGCCCATCCCTGTAACCCCCATTCCCCTGGGACCCCAATCATGGGATCCCCATTCCTCCCCATTCCTTCTGTCCCCATTTCACTGGGGCCCCCATCCCTGGATTGCAATTTCCCAGGATTTCCATTCCCAAGGAATTCCATCCCAGTAATTCCAGTCCCTCTGACCTCCCTTCCCTTGGAGACCTTGTTTCCCCCAGGAATCCCTTTCCCCTGGCACCTCCATTCCTTGGCCCCCATCCCATGATCACAAATCCCTGGACACCACGTTGTTCTGGAACCCCCAGTCCTGAGTCTGAGTCCACCCAACCCTTGGGACCCCCATTCCCCTGAGACCCCATTCCTGGGCACCCCATTCCACCTCAGCCTCCAAATTCTGCCAACACCACATCTCCACCATGTCCCACCATCACCCCCATGTCCCACCAGGTCCCCACCCTGCCCCCATCCTGTGGCCACCCTGCCCCCACCAAGGGCCACCTACACGTGGGGACGAGCCGTGGCCTCGCTTCCTTCCCCTTCATCCGCAGAGCCGCCAGCCAGGGCAGCGGTGGCCACAGCAGGCGGGGACAGCCAGTCCACATGGCTGGGGACACCGGGATGGCCGGGAAGGTGGCACTGCTCCTGTGGGGTGAGTGCCCCGGGCACGGGCCTGGCAGCCGGGGGATGGGCCCTGGTGAGACAGAGACCGGTGGGGAGGGGGCACAGGGGGGCTGCGGGGTCCCCTGAGGTCCCCAAGGCCAGCAGGGCATTTGACTCCAGTGTGACCAGAGTTGTGGGGTGGCTGTGGGCAGAGCAACAGAGGGATAGTGATGTTGGGACAGGGATGTGGCAGAAGGAACCTTGGGACTAGGGCAGCTGTGGGGAGAGGGACAGGAGAATACGGATGCAGGGACAGGGACAAGGGCCACATGCCATGAGGATGGGCCATGGGGACAGGTGCCACCAGAGTGGGATGGTGGGCATAGGGCCATGGGGATGTGGCTGTGCAGACAGGTGTTGTAGGGCTGGTGGAGGTGACCTGTGCAAACATGGGCTGTCCACAGTGTCCCCGTGTCTTGCCTCAGACAAGGGTGACTGAGGTGTCCCTGTACTCAAGACCTCCATGCTCTACCAGTGTTCCCATGGGGACAGTTTGAGGACAGCCCCCACACCACATGCCCCCAGATGGTGCTGTCCCTGCAGGGCCACCCCCACCCAGCCCTGTCCTTTCTCCCTTCCAGCCCAGACCCTCGGCCTCGCTGGTGAGTCCTCGGAGGATGCCATGTCCCCTCACCTCACTGTCCCCAGCCCCTTGGTGGCCCTGGCAGGCTGGTGTGCCCTGTCACCCACAGGTGCCCAGGCCACCCAGCTCCTCGTGGAGCCCCCCTGGAGGCCAGCAGTGCTGTGGGACCCGGTGACACTGACCTGCCAGGGCTCGGGGACCGCCGGTGCCACCACCTGGTACAAGGACGGGCAGCGCTGGGGGCAGCAGGGACACGATCACATCACTGTCACCGAGAGTGGCACCTACACGTGTGACAGACCCGGCAGTGGGCACAGCCGCCATGTGAAAGTCTTAGATGGTGAGGGGAGTTTGGGAGTTCCCGACCTGGCACCTGTGAGGACCTCTGACCCTCTGCATGGGCTCTGTTCCGTGGGTGACCTTCTTGGTATGGCCAGAGCCCATCTGTTGCACATGGGGACTTCCAGAGCATCCCATTGTGGGATCCCCTAGTTCCCACCCCCCGTGTTGGGAACTGGGGACCCCTGGTGCCCTAGGTGTGACCAATAGAGAGGTCCCAGTGACATCGGGAACCTCCAGAGCTCTGTGATGAGACAGCACCCCTCTGCCTCCCAGACCAGCTGGTGCTGCAGGTGCCGACACGGACACTGCTGGAGGGAGACACGGTGACATTGCGCTGCCGGTGCAGGCAGGGCAACCCGGTCAGCTCGGTGTTCTTCTACCATGAGGAGAAGGAATTGGGGGAGTTCCAAAATGGGACCGAGCTGTTCCTGTCCCATCTGCAGCTGCACCACAGCGGCCGCTACCGCTGCAGGGGCTGGGTGAACTCCAGGGTAGCACAGGGATGGGAGGATTCGGCACCGGTGACAGTGACAGTGCACGGTGAGCACCCCACAGCCGCCACCCCAACAGCCCCACAGCTCTTCCCCAGGAACTGGGGGTCACCAGCCCCACCAGCGCCCATTTCCTGCCCTGAGCCCTTCCCTGTGCCAGTGCTGGAAGTTCCCCGTGATCCCACCGAGGGGTCCCCCCTGACTCTCAGCTGCCTCAGCACCCCCAGCCCCCTGTGGCCCCGAGCCCCCCTCCTGCACGTGTTCTACCGGGACGGGCAGGTGGTGGGGGTCCCGCAGGGGTCCCCACAGCTGCTGGTACCCGCCGTGGGGGTCTCCCACTCGGGGAATTACAGCTGCGAGGTGCGCTCTGAGGGAGGGGCTGTGCAGAAGAGCAGTGCCTGGCTACGCATCACGGTGCGCAGTGAGTGCGAGGATGGGCACGGGGAGCCCCCACAGACTCCCTGGGTCCCTCCCTGGGCACCTCCTTGTCCCCCAGAGACATTTCTTGGGTCCCCCCACTTCTGCCCCATGTCCCCACTCACCCCTTTATGTTCTGACCCCATTCCTGACATCCCCCTTCCCACCCATACCCCCGTCCCTATCCCCCCACACCAGCTGCCAGCCCCTCGCTGTGACCTCAGCCCTGTCTGTGTCCCCGCAGTGCCCGTGGCCAATGCCACCATCACCCTCAGTCCCCTGGCACACCAGGTGCGCGCAGGGGACCCCGTGACCCTGCGCTGCTCGGTGCAGGTGGGCTCAGCCCCTGTCACCTTCACCTGGCGGCACAACGGGCAGGAGGTGGCCCAGGGTCCCCTCCTGGAGCTTGGGGACGTCAGTGTGGGACATTCGGGCACCTACCAGTGCGTGGCCACCAACCAGCTGGACAGTCAGCAGGCACTCAGCCCAGAGCTAGTCCTGACTGTGACATCACAGGGACACATGGACACCGGTGAGGTCACACAGGGTCACCAGGGAGTGCATGATTCCTGGGGTGATGGGTGATCTTGATGTGTCCTACTCTGTTTCTTGCAGTGGTTGCAGGGATTGGTTGGGCCCTTTTGTTCCTGGTCCTGCTCGTGGGTGTCATTGTGGCCTGGCACCGGTGGCACCGAGTGGGTGAGAGACAATGGAGGGACGGGAGTCCCATGGACAGTAGAGGCCCCCAGAATTGGGGAACAATAGGGCGGCACCCAGAACTGTGACCTTGGCTGAGAATCCTGCAGGCTTTTGGGAAGTGCTGGCGGGTCCTGCAGGGATGTTGGGGGTTCTTCCAGAGGCCCTGGAGGCATTTGGCAGGGGTGGAGGGGGCGGTCTCTGTCCCTGCCGGGCTTTGGGTTCTTGAAGATCAGTTGGTCAGGGACACGGGGGAGGTTCATGAATTCTGGGGGGCTTCAGGGATGCTTCGGAGTCCAGTGGGAAATCGAGGGTCCAGTGGGGGTTCAGGAGTCCTGAGAGGAATCAGGACCCCGGGGACCCCACAGTCACCCCTCCCCTCTTTCCTCTGCAGCTGCCAGGAAGCACCAGGAAAGGTGAGTGAGTGTCTCCAGCCATGAGTCCCCTTTTACCCCCACCCCACAGCTCTCCATTCCCTCCCACACATCTCTTTATCCCCACAGGCCCTCCCCGGAGCCCCTGGCCACTCCAGAGGAGGGGGAAATTCTGTACACCCATGTTGTGAGCACCAAACAGGCACAGCGTGAGAACAGTGGGGGGGGGGGGACAGTGACATGTCACCCAGTGGTGTCATCCCCCACCTTGGTCCCCACAACCTGTGTCTCTTGCAGGGCCCTCTTGCATCACCGTTCCCCAAGAACGCCAGGTGACCTACACGGAGCTGCCGGGACTCCACAGGCGACCATGTGAGACCAGTGACATCAATGAGATTGTGTTGTGACACTGGGGGGCACTGGGGGGGCACTGGGGGTCCGCACCCATGGGCACCCACACATGTGTGTGCTACCTCTAAAAACTGCTCCTCCTCCTCTCCGTGGAGACACAAAGATCTTAAAGGGCTGAGAGAAGAACAATTTCCTGAAATAACAAGAGAGAACAAAACCAAAAGCAACAGTACCATAATTCAGAATCCAAAGGGCCAAAAAGTAGGAATTTCCAAGGAAAGCCCCAGAAGGGAACAGACCACAGATGCTGCCTCCCATCACATTTCCTCCAGAGGAACCTGTCAGCGCCCTGGATCTTCCTTGCTCTGATGGCCAATGCAGCCTTCAGGAGGCCCTGGATTCTCTTGTCCCCTGTCCCAATCCCCTCCTCTGCCATGTTCCCCACCTGAGGATGTCATAAAGGCCCTGTGGGGGTTCCGCAGCCTCCCCCTTTCCCAGGGCAGTCAGGATCAGGCCACGGCACAAGATGGGGTGTCAAAGACAGGAAAAGTTTGATGTCTGGAGACATTTTGGAACACGTGTCTGTGGCAGAGGCGTATCAGGCCTTGCTTTGGTGAGACAGGGGCCCCATCTGTCCATCAGTCTGTCAGCCATTGAGCACTGGGGACTGTGTGACACTCTGCCAAACCAGCTCCTGAGTGGCCAGGTGACCAGAATTGCCAGCTGGGGAGAGGGCCCTTGGTGGCCCAACTGGCTTAAAAGGCAGAGTATGAGGTGGCCAAGTCCCTGACCCTATCTCTTCTTGGGGTGTCTGTCCCTTCCACGCTGAAATCTAGGAGTAATCATGCCTCTTGGTTTACAAGAGATATGTCTGCCAAGGAAAGTGGGAACCCTGCTGGAATAGGAAGACCCATCTCTAAAACTTTTTTAAATTCAAAACTGATGAGGTTACCATGTAAAAGTGCAGAAAAAGAATAACAGCTCTTTACTGAGAAATGTATCAACCAGAACAGAACAAACAACTCAAACCCAGAACTTTCCCTCCCGCTCAGGGCTCTTTGTTCGTCTTTGGTGCAGTTATGGCCACAGCCAGCAGGGGGCGATGCAGGGAGCACGCCCGGCCAGCAGGGGGCGCTGCAGGGAGCGCTCCCGGCCAGCAGGGGGCGCTGCAGGGAAGGATCCCGGCCAGCAGGGGGCGCCCCCATCGAGCTCGATCCCTCAGGGCCAAGGGCGGCCTGGGCCGGGAGGGAGGAGGGGAAATCGCTCCTTTTGCAAACTCACCGGCACCAATCGGTCCCGGCACCACCACCGGCAGCAGGCAGAAGTCACCATGGTAGTGGTTTGGATCCCCGTGCCCACTGGCAGCGTAGCAGTGTCCCGGGGCCTGGCACATTCTCTGGGCAGAGCCCGCAACCGCTCTCCATGATCCCGGATGGAAGGAAGGCAGCACCTGTCCTCAGGCAGGTCTCAGGCCCACAAAAGCCCCTCTGGTTCCTTTACACCACAATTCCTGCAAACCCTCAGCCTTTAACTCCCTTTTCCTCCTTCAGCCCTGGCACAGCAGCTCTGGGAATGTTGAGCTGCCCCGGGGTGGGGCAGAGCCCTGTCTATTCCCCGTGCCCTGTGCAGGTGAGAAGGGCCGGGATGGAGCAGCTCTGGGGAGACCTGGAATCCAGACAGGGTGTGGTAGATAGGGACAGGCGAACGGAAGATCCCGGGTTGTGATGGAAAGAAAGACCCTTCCCCCCTCTCCTTTGCAACACGTTAACTATTACCCCCAGAACATGTAACCACACCTAACCCAGTAGTTTTCCACTCCCAACTAACCCTAGGGACCCTACAACCCCCCTCTGACTTAGCAAAGTCCCCCAAGACTATTTAAACCCATGAGATAAGATAATAAACGCTTTCGACCGTCCACCACATTGGTGTCTGCGTGTGTCGTTAGCCCGAGTAGCCCGGACAGGCCGGGCTGCCGTGCTGCTCCTTGCAACCAGGTCGCCGTTGCCTCCCCTGAAGGCAACAACAGGGTCACTCCCCACAACCCCACCATAGCCATGGGATGTTGGAACTCAAAATGTCCCTCAGACATTTTTGGAGGTTCCAGGCCCAGGTCAGAAGCATTTGAGACCCTGGCAGGCAGCTGGAAACAGCTGTGATTTTGAGTTTGAGCCATGGAAGGAGTTACCATCTTTGAAGGTGGAACAAGCAGTCACAGAGGGTTAGATGGTATAGTAGAAGTAGTTACAAAGTAGAGAGAAGAATTTTTTAGTATTGTACAGGGGGGTTTTAGCACCTGTACAGGGGGGTTTTACTTTGTACATGGGGGTCAGAAGTTTTAAGATGGACAAATGTAGTCCGGTCCTGTTCCTCCTCTTTCTTCTTCCTTACCTCCATGTTCTTGATGATGTTGGCACTTCTGCATTGGTTTAGAGTAGAAAAGCACCATTTAATATGGGTAGTAGGTATTGGGGGAAAACTGTAAACATTTATCGCGTGATGTACCATATAAAAGAGAGCAGCAGCCCTGGGCAGGGGGAGAGAAGAGGCAGTCGGGAGTCAGAGAGGGTGTCAGGGGTGTGTGTGCCTTTGCCTGAGCTGCTGAGCAAACCACAGCAGTCTAAGAAAATCTTTTAGATAACTTGCATTAAACTGCCTTGAGACCAAGCAACAAGAGACTACTGAGCCTTTCTTTGGAAGCATGGTTTGGAGGAGGGATTTTTCCACCACACGGAGCCGCGAACGAGGCTTGGGCTCCGTCAATGGGACACAGCAACTGCTCGATAATTCAACACAACTCCCTCTTGTTGGGGAGCTGAGCCAAACCCCAAATATTCTTCCCAGGATGTTCCATGGGTCCGCAAGTTTGAGATGGGAAGAAGTGACCTGGTCAGGTTGTTGTGCAAAATGTTTTTGTCTTTGCAGGGTTTTTGGAACTCAGACCCTTGCTGCAAGGGACAACATGATCAATTGCTGCATTTCCAAACTGGTTCCCCCAAAGCTGCCCCTGCAGGGGGTTTTCCAGCCAGCCCTGCCCTGAAAACCATCAAAGGCCCTTGCAGAGCCACTGCTTGGGCTCCCTTTCGGTTTTGTGCTTTTTGCAGGGCTGAGCAAACCACAGCCAGGCCATTTCCGCTCACAGAATTCTCACCTCTGCAGCAGCTCTAAAGCTGCCAGAATCAAAGCCAAGGTGGTGGGGGGGACCCTCATGTCCTGGCTGCCACCTGGGGCTGGCCAGAGCAGGGCTGGGCAGTGGCCACCCCTGTGCAGTGGGGCTGGGCCATGGCTGGGCCCCAGCCCTGGATGGCCACTGGCTTGAAGGAGCAGGAGTTTGGGAGCTCCTTCGTGCCTGGGGCTCCATTCCAGAGCTGCTCTTTCCAGTTCAAATCCTGCATGATGAGCAGGAATGAGAAGCCTGGAACAGGATTTCTTCCAAAACCCAATAAACTTCTTTCTGCTGCATGAGAGAGAAAGTGAAAGCGTTGAGGGGGCACAGCTCTACACCCCCATCCCCAACAGACTCCTCACCCTTCCCTGCACCCCCCACACCCCACTTTTCCCCTCCATTGGGTCCCCCCTACCCGTTCCCTGCTCAGGTGCTCCCTGGGATTGCTGAGCCGGAAACCAGTGGTGAAGGGACATGGCACAAAAGTGAGGAAAATAAGGGAAAAACAGGAAGAGAGGAAAAAGTCAAGGGCAGGGGCAGGCACAGAGGCAGAGCTACCCAGGACCCCCATGGGAGGCCTACCCAGGAAATGAGCACCCCAGGGTGGAGGCTGTGCTGGGCCCTGGGTCACCCCAAAATCTGAGGCACCCAGAGAAGGAGCTGTGACCCCCATGCCCTCCCAGGCACTGCCCATCCTTGTAGCCCCCATTCCCCTGGGAACCCAATCATGGGATCCCCATTCCTGCCCATCCCTTCTGTCCCCATTTCACTGGGGCCCCCATCCCTGGATTGCAATTTCCCAGGATCTCCATTCCCAAGGAATTCCATCCCAGTAATTCCAGTCCCTCTGACCTCCCTTCCCTTGGGGACCTTGATTCCCCCAGGAATCCCTTTCCCCTGGCACCTCCATTCCCTGGCCCTCATCCCATGATCACAAATCCCTGGACACCACGTTGTTCTGGAACCCCCAGTCCTGAGTCTGAGTCCACCCAACCCTTGGGACCCCCATTACCCTGAGACCCCATCCCTGGACACCCCATTCCACCTCAGCCTCCAAATTCTGCCAACACCACGTCTCCACCATGTCCCACCATCACCCCCATGTCCCACCAGGTCCCCACCCTGCCCCCATCCTGTGGCCACCCTGCCCCCACCAAGGGCCACCTACACGTGGGGACGAGACGTGGCCTCGCTTCCTTCCCCTTCATCCGAAGAGCCGCCAGCCAGGGCAGCGGTGGCCACAGCAGGCGGGGACAGCCAGTCCACATGGCTGGGGACACCGGGATGGCCGGGAAGGTGGCACTGCTCCTGTGGGGTGAGTGCCCCAGGCACGGGACTGACAGCCCAGGGATGGGCCCTGGTGGGGCAGAGACCGGTGGGGAGGGGGCACAGGGGGGCTGCGGGGTCCCCTGAGGTCCCCAAGGCCAGCAGGGCATTTGACTCCAGTGTGACCAGAGTTGTGGGGTGGCTGTGGGCAGAGGAACAGAGGGATAGTGATGTTGGGACAGGGATGTGGCAGAAGGAACCTAGGGACTAGGGCAGCTGTGGGGAGAGGGACAGGAGAATACGGATGCAGGGACAGGGACAAGGGCCACATGCCATGAGGATGGGCCATGGGGACAGGTGCCACCAGAGTGGGATGGTGGGCATAGGGCCATGGGGATGTGGCTGTGCAGACAGGTGTTGTAGGGCTGGTGGAGGTGACCTGTGCAAACATGGGCTGTCCACAGTGTCCCCGTGTCTTGCCTCAGACAAGGGTGACTGAGGTGTCCCTGTACTCAAGACCTCCATGCTCTACCAGTGTTCCCATGGGGACAGTTTGAGGACAGCCCCCACACCACATGCCCCCAGATGGTGCTGTCCCTGCAGGGCCACCCCCACCCAGCCCTGTCCTTTCTCCCTTCCAGCCCAGACCCTCGGCCTCGCTGGTGAGTCCTCGGAGGATGCCATGTCCCCTCACCTCACTGTCCCCAGCCCCTTGGTGGCCCTGGCAGGCTGGTGTGCCCTGTCACCCACAGGTGCCCAGACCACCCAGCTCCTCGTGGAGCCCCGCTGGAGGCCAGCAGTGCTGTGGGACCGGGTGACACTGACCTGCCAGGGCTCGGGGACCGCCGGTGCCACCACCTGGTACAAGGACGGGCAGCGCTGGGGGCAGCAGGGACACGATCACATCACTGTCACCGAGAGTGGCACCTACACGTGTGACAGACCCGGCAGTGGGCACAGCCGCCATGTGAAAGTCTTAGATGGTGAGGGGAGTTTGGGAGTTCCCGACCTGGCACCTGTGAGGACCTCTGGCCCTCTGCATGGGCTCTGTTCCGTGGGTGACCTTCTTGGTATGGCCAGAGCCCATCTGTTGCACATGGGGACTTCCAGAGCATCCCATTGTGGGATCCCCTAGTTCCCACCCCCCGTGTTGGGAACTGGGGACCCCTGGTGCCCTAGGTGTGACCAATAGAGAGGTCCCAGTGACATCGGGAACCTCCAGAGCTCTGTGATGAGACAGCACCCCTCTGCCTCCCAGACCAGCTGGTGCTGCAGGTGCCGACACGGACACTGCTGGAGGGAGACACGGTGACATTGCGCTGCCAGTGCAGGCAGGGCAACCCGGTCAGCTCGGTGTTCTTCTACCATGAGGAGAAGGAATTGGTGGAGTTCCAAAATGGGACCGAGCTGTTCCTGTCCCATCTGCAGCTGCACCACAGCGGCCGCTACCGCTGCAGGGGCTGGGTGAACTCCAGGGTAGCACAGGGATGGGAGGATTCGGCACCGGTGACAGTGACAGTGCACGGTGAGCACCCCACAGCCGCCACCCCAACAGCCCCACAGCTCTTCCCCAGGAACTGGGGGTCACCAGCCCCACCAGCGCCCATTTCCTGCCCTGAGCCCTTCCCTGTGCCAGTGCTGGAAGTTCCCCCCGAGCCCACTGAGGGGTCCCCCCTGACTCTCAGCTGCCTCAGCACCCCCAGCCCCCTGTGGCCCTGAGCCCCCCTCCTGCACGTGTTCTACCGGGATGGGCAGGTGGTGGGGGTCCCGCAGGGGTCCCCACAGCTGCTGGTACCCGCCGTGGGGGTCTCCCACTCGGGGAATTACAGCTGCGAGGTGCGCTCTGAGGGAGGGGCTGTGCAGAAGAGCAGTGCCTGGCTACGCATCATGGTGCGCAGTGAGTGCGGGGATGGGCACGGGGAGCCCCCACAGACTCCCTGGGTCCCTCCCTGGGCACCTCCTTGTCCCCCAGACACATTTCTTGGGTCCCCCCACTTCTGCCCCATGTCCCCACTCACCCCTTTATGTTCTGACCCCATTCCTAACATCCCCCTTCCCACCCATACCCCCATCCCTATCCCCCCACACCAGCTGCCAGCCCCTCGCTGTGACCTCAGCCCTGTCTGTGTCCCCGCAGTGCCCGTGGCCAATGCCACCATCACCCTCAGTCCCCTGGCACACCAGGTGCGCGCAGGGGACCCCGTGACCCTGCGCTGCTCGGTGCAGGTGGGCTCAGCCCCTGTCACCTTCACCTGGCGGCACAACGGGCAGGAGGTGGCCCAGGGTCCCCTCCTGGAGCTTGGGGACGTCAATGTGGGACATTCGGGCACCTACCAGTGCGTGGCCACCAACCAGCTGGACAGTCACCAGGCACTCAGCCCAGAGCTAGTCCTGACTGTGACATCACAGGGACACATGGACCCCGGTGAGGTCACACAGGGTCACCAGGGAGTGCATGATTCCTGGGGTGATGGGTGATCTTGATGTGTCCCACTCTGTTTCTTGCAGTGGTTGCAGGGATTGGTTGGGCCCTTTTGTTCCTGGTCCTGCTCGTGGGTGTCATTGTGGCCTGGCACCGGTGGCACCGAGTGGGTGAGAGACAATGGAGGGACGGGAGTCCCATGGACAGTAGAGGCCCCCAGAATTGGGGAACAATAGGGCGGCACCCAGAACTGTGACCTTGGCTGAGAATCCTGCAGGCTTTTGGGAAGTGCTGGCGGGTCCTGCAGGGATGTTGGGGGTTCTTCCAGAGGCCCTGGAGGCATTTGGCAGGGGTGGAGGGGGCGGTCTCTGTCCCTGCCGGGCTTTGGGTTCTTGAAGATCAGTTGGTCAGGGACACTGGGGAGGTTCATGAATTCTGGGGGGCTTCAGGGATGCTTCGGAGTCCAGTGGGAAATCGAGGGTCCAGTGGGGGTTCATGAGTCCTGAGAGCGGTCAGGACCCCGGGGACCCCACAGTCACCCCTCCCCTCTTTCCTCTGCAGCTGCCAGGAAGCACCAGGAAAGGTGAGTGAGTGTCTCCAGCCATGAGTCCCCTTTTACCCCCACCCCACAGCTCTCCATTCCCTCCCACACATCTCTTTATCCCCACAGGCCCTCCCCGGAGCCCCTGGCCACTCCAGAGGAGGGGGAAATTCTGTACACCCATGTTGTGAGCACCAAACAGGCACAGCGTGAGAACGGGGGGGGGGGGGGGGAACGGGACAGTGACATGTCACCCAGTGGTGTCATCCCCCACCTTGGTCCCCACAACCTGTGTCTCTTGCAGGGCCCTCTTGCATCACCGTTCACCAAGAACGCCAGGTGACCTACACGGAGCTGCCGGGACTCCACGGGCGACCATGTGAGACCAGTGACATCAATGAGATTGTGTTGTGACACTGGGGGGCACTGGGGGGGCACTGGGGGTCCCCACCCATGGGCACCCACACATGTATGTGCTACCTCTAAAAACTGCTTCTCCTCCTCTCCGTGGAGACTCAAAGATCTTAAAGGGCTGAGAGAAGAACAATTTCCTGAAATAACAAGAGAGAACAAAACCAAAAGCAACAGTACCATGATTCAGAATCCAAAGGGCCAAAAAGTAAGAATTTCCAAGGAAAGCCCCAAAAGGGAACAAACCACAGATGCTGCCTCCCATCACATTTCCTCCAGAGGAACCTGTCAGCGCCCTGGATCTTCCTTGCTCTGATGGCCAATGCAGCCTTCAGGAGGCCCTGGATTCTCTTGTCCCCTGTCCCAATCGCCTCCTCTGCCATGTTCCCCACCTGAGGACGTCATAAAGGCTCTGTGGGGGTTCCGCAGCCTCCCCCTTTCCCAGGGCAGTCAGGATCAGGCCACGGCACAAGATGGGGTGTCAAAGACAGGAAAAGTTTGATGTCTGGAGACATTTTGGAACACCTGTCTGTGGCAGAGGCGTATCAGGCCTTGCTTTGGTGAGACAGGGGCCCCATCTGTCCATCAGTCTGTCAGCCATTGAGCACTGGGGACTGTGTGACACTCTGCCAAACCAGCTCCTGAGTGGCCAGGTGACCAGAATTGCCAGCTGGGGAGAGGGCCCTTGGTGGCCCAACTGGCTTAAAAGGCAGAGTATGAGGTGGCCAAGTCCCTGACCCTATCTCTTCTTGGGGTGTCTGTCCCTTCCACGCTGAAATCCAGGAGTAATCATGCCTCTTGGTTTACAAGAGATATGTCTGCCAAGGAAAGTGGGAACCCTGCTAGAATAAGAAGACCCATCTCTAAAACTTTTTTAAATTCAAAAATGATGAGGTTACCATGTAAAAGTGCAGAAAAAGAATAACAGCTCTTTACTGAGAAATTTATCAACCAGAACAGAACAAATAACTCAAAACCAGAACTTTCCCTCCCGCTCAGGGCTCTTTGTTCGTCTTTGGTGCAGTTATGGCCACAGCCAGCAGGGGGCGCTGCAGGGAACGTGCCCGGCCAGCAGGGGGCGCTGCAGGGAGCGCTCCCGGCCAGCAGGGGGCGCTGCAGGGAACGTGCCCGGCCAGCAGGGGGCGCTGCAGGGAACATGCCCGGCCAGCAGGGGGCGCCCCGCTCGAGCTCGATCCCTCAGGGCCAAGGGCGGCCTGGGCCGGGAGGGAGGAGGGGAAATCGCTCCTTTTGCAAACTCACCGGCACCAATCGGTCCCGCCACCACCACCGGCAGCAGGCAGAAGTCACCATGGCAGTGGTTTGGATCCCAGTGCCCAGTGGCAGCGTAGCAGTGTCCCGGGGCCTGGCACATGCTCTGGGCAGAGCCCGCAACCGCTCTCCATGATCCCGGATGGAAGGAAGGCAGCACCTGTCCTCCGGCAGGTCTCAGGCCCACAAAAGCCCCTCTGGTGCCTTTACACCACAATTCCTGCAAACCTTCAGCCTTTAACTCCATTTTCCTCCTTCAGCCCTGGCACAGCAGCTCTGGGAATGTTGAGCTGCCCCGGGGTGGGGCAGAGCCCTGTCTATTCCCCGTGCCCTGTGCAGGTGAGAAGGGCCGGGATGGAGCAGCTCTGGGGAGACCTGGAATCCAGACAGGGTGTGGTAGATAGGGACAGGCGAACGGAAGATCCCGGGTTTTGGTGGAAAGAAAGACCCTTCCCCCTTCTCCTTTGCAACACATTAACTATTAACCCCAGAACATGTAACCACACCTAACCCAGTAGTTTTCCACTCCCGACTAACCCTAGGGACCCTACAAACCCCCTCTGACGTAGCAAAGTCCCCCAAGACTATTTAAACCCATGAGATAAGATAATAAACGCTTTCGACCGTCCACCACACTGCTATCTGCGTGTGTCGTTAGCCCGAGTAGCCCGGACAGGCCGGGCTGCCGTGCTGTCGCCTTGCAACCAGGTCGCCGTTGCCTCCCCTGAAGGCAACATGTCTGGTGCCGAAACCCGGGAAGAGAAATTCGCTCGGGTAGCGGGAGTACACCTGGACAAGGGCAGCGGCCGGAGCGGTCAGACCGTATCTTGGTGCAGGGAGACGTCCCAGGACCCGCGAGCGTCATGGACAGCATCGCCAGGGTCGTAAGTGCAATTCAGAAGCAGTGGGGTATCGAGTGTAAGCTCAAAGACTTTTATCTTGCCATAGCAAGGCTGCTTGAGCTTGGGGCAATTGAACGCCCCGTGGATGTTCTGCATCTGGAAATATGGGAAAAATGCACAGCCATGCTGGCCGAGGACACGAAAACCTCAGGCAGTGGCAAGAGCCTTAAGGCGTGGGGCAAAGTAGAGAAAGCCCCGCGCAGAGCAACAGAAGAGCAGGAGACGTGGAGCGCGGCGCGTATGTGTTTATGAGTTAGACCCGGGCTCGGGGCGGGGACGGGAGCACAGACCGCCCCTGAGGACGATCCGCCCGGGAGCGGGGATCCGGGGGGGCCCGGCGCGTCACCGCCCTACCCGGGCCAGAGCCCAATCCCCGCCGCGGAAACCTCCCAGAAATGCGCGGCTTCCCCGTCCGTCTCACCGCTGCCGCTGGTCAGTGACCCGTTGTCGGAGGTGTAGCAGCGCGCGCAATGCTTTTGGCAGGGGCTGGCGAGGGAAGCCAGAGACGCAGAAAGCGCGGCTTGGGAGGAGATCCTAACCACGCCGCCACCTTACTCCTTTGAAAATGGCGCTGGCCCCCAAGGAGAGGGGCAGGGCGCGGGCGGTCTCGGCGCAAAAAGCCGGGAGGCGCGCGATTTCAGGGACGCGCGTGCGCGGGAGAAAGAGGAGGAGAGCGACAGAGGGCACGGAGCCAATCGGCAGCCGCGCCTGACGCCGCTACCATTTAAGGGAGAGACCTCCCCTGCAGGAGGCAGGGCAAGCCAGGGGGGCGGGAGCGGCGCCACCCCTGCGGGGAGGAGCGAGCTCGGAGCCGGACAAAAAGGCACCGAGCCCCGGAAATGCTCTGGCATTCGACTTCCGACTCGGAGTCCAGCAGCAGCTCCGCCAGCTCGGAAGAGCTGACGGGAACCAGCTAGAACTCTGAGACGGAGGAAACAGAGCCAACGCGATTTAAGACAAAACCGAGTAAAGCTCTAAGCCGCACCGAAAAACAACTACAATACAAACCAGCCAAGTTTACCAGCTGGGGAGAAACATCCTGTTGGGGCTGCGGGAGAAAAGGGCATCTCATTAAGGAATGCAGGTCCCGGCCCCAGGGAAACGGGAAAGGGAGGGGGCGTGCGGGCCGCACTCAGCCTCCTCCCACCGCGAATACAAGGCGGCCCATCTATGCCAACCCCCAGTGGGGCGGGAAACCCTCATACCCCATACCCCCACAGGAGGCAGCCAGCTTCATACCCCTGCCAGCGACACAATTGCAGAGTCTCGCAACACAGCCCGCAGTACCTTCGTACCCACTACCACCGCCAGCAGCGCCTGTGCCGCAGGGTCAGCAGGGGACACCCCAGAACGGGACCCCTGGGTGGCCCTGGCCATGAAAATAGGGAAAGAGCCCCCAAGGGTGTGGGGGACATGCCGCCTCTATGGCAGTCAGGACCCCCACGTAATAGGGCTTCAGTTTTGGGCAGACACAGGAGCAGACTGCTCGATCTTTCCCCAAGCACTGTGGCCTCGACACTGGCTATGCAAAGAAGTCCCCCCAGTGAACGGAGTGGGAGGGCCGTCCCGAGCTTGGAAAAGCACCCAATTGGTAGCTATAACGCTTCATACAAAAAAGGGACCAGAACAAACAGTAGCAATCCACCCCTACATCTTGCAAAACTCTCCACCCCTGATAGGAAGGGACATCCTTGCTATGTTAGGAGTCAAAATTACAAATTTATAATGAGGGCCACTGCCACACACCCACTGCTGCCAATAAAACTGACCTTCAGAACAAAACTAATGAAAAACTGTGAGTTTCGGTTTGCAGGACATGCTCGTGGACCATCCCCGTGACGCGTACACCCCTGCTCCAGAGGGAGATGACGGACCACCAAGCCGCCAGACAAAACCCGAGAGTCCCACACCGGTGAGACCCAGACATGCACAGTGTTTCTGTGCGATTTTGCTGTTGGGGCTGGTGGCCGGGGGACAAGCCGACCCAGGCCACTACCCTCATCAGCAATTTAGGTGGGTCATGCAACATCTATCAAGTGACAAGGTGTTCAAAGAGATCACCACAGCGAACACCCCATCCTTCGTGTTCCACATAGCCGACCTGTTTAGAAACTACCTTTCTAACCCTAAACAAAACCAAACCGAACCTGACTAACTCCTGTTGGCTTTGCTATGATGTCAAACCCCCTTTCTACAAAGGCATTGCTTTAGACACCCCCTTCAGTTACTCCACAGCCAGTGCCCCCCACCAGTGCAGATGGGACACTCCCTGCAGAGGAATCACCCTGAGTCAAATCACAGGACAGGGCAGATGTTTTGGGAATGCAACCTTAGCAAAGAAGAAAGGCAACTTCTGCACTAAAGTTGTCAAGCCCGACAGAAAAACCAATAAGTGGGTGGTCCCATCCGCATCTGGGATGTGGGTTTGCCAGTGATCCAGAGTGAGTCCTTGTGTGTTCCTTGCCAAATTTAATGACTCTACCGATTTCTGTGTCCAAGTTCTGATTGTCCCCAGGGTCCTGTACCACTCAGATGAAGAGATATACCACCTCCTCGAAGAACCTGACAGACTCCACAAAAGAGAAATAATCATGGTCATGGTTTGACACGGGAAGAGAATTTTTTTTAGAAGGAAGAACTTCATCCAGTCAGGGGTCAGGTTTCGATACTGACACTTGGGGTGACCAATTGAAGGTGGACACGCCTCTGAGAACACAGAGGAGTTAAAAGCGGAATTCCCAGGAGGACTCGTCCTTCTTTGGTTCCGGTCATCACATGATATGGACCTCCCCCCCCCAGCCCGGGCTGGGTGGGGGAGGGGAGCCATGCGGCCTGCACAGGTAGGCCAGGAGGTAAAGGATCGGAACCGGCTGGGTCAGCTCCTGCAGATGGAAGGGTGGAGAAATCTGGGATGTCTCCGTTCCCCCCAGAGTCTCTCTCTCTCCCAAGAGAGAAAAAAAAAGACAGCGGTGGTTTTATCGGCAGTTCGCCGCAGGGAA